CCTGTTGATTTAACAAGTGACACTCTTATTTATGACATCAGTCATCACCTGAGGCTCTTGTCATGAGCTGCCAAGGCTATGGAAGCCTCTTGAGTTCACAAACTCCGACCTTATTTAGACAAGGCCATAATCAAAGTTGGAAGTTCTCTCCTCTCTTCAGAGAAAGGTACTTCCTTCTTTGATGGCCTGTTCTTTCCACCGGGATCTCACTCACAGAGATCTTTCACGTAGGTCATTTTTTGCCACAGTATCTTGGCTTTCCATGCCTGAAATGCTCTCATGGGTTTTTTAGCCAGATCCAAATGCCTTAAGGGCTGATTCTGAGGCCAGAGTACTGTTTAGGGCATTTGTCACTTTATGAGCCTGCCATGTGTTCTAGTTCCGCAGTAGCTAGGATGCCAAATACCCACCCCTCCATGAACTTTTAAAAGACCCCCGTAATTTGAGATCTTTCAAGAATTCCCCCACCACATCAGTTCTACCTTTCCAGACCCCTCTTTACCTACTGCCACCTCCCTTATATCCAAAACCCAGTCACAGCCAACTTACTGTATATGCCTCCCATAACCCATGCTTCTAGGATTTTGCACTTCTTTGAGTGTCGTGTAACTCCCTCCTCTGCCTAGCAAACTCCTACAGTAGCAGTAGACAGTGGCTTGTCAATGAAATTAGTGTGACCTTTACATAGGGCAGAGTTGTTGCCCAGTGGGAGGTCACATTTCCCAGCACCCACTGCATCTGAGTGGGGACCACGTGACTAGAACTCACTGATGGAACATGAACGGAAACGGAGAGTACACTCACAGGGGATGTAGTTCAGTCTAGGGGTCACGATGCTCCACACGCTCTCTCTCACTCAGTGGCCAGCTGGAAGAGCCTGGACTCTCTGAGCCTCCAGCAGGTGGAGAGGTACTTGGGAGAGCTCCGCAAGCTGGCGCGGCTGCATTCCACCGGGTGTGGAGATGAAATCACTTACATTGTGTTAACTCCCTGAGATCCGGGAATGCGATACTGTGCACAGCACAGCACAGCCTATCCTGACTGGCAGTCTGACTCACTCTTCAAGGCCAGGCCAAAGGTCACAGCCACTGTGCAGCTTATCCGGACGTGCCTGGACAGGGAGAGTCAGCTGCCTCTCCCAGGGCTGTGCCCAGGTTTCCCTGTGAACCGACCCCATTCCTTATATTCTTATGGTAATAATTTGTTTTTAATCTATCTTCATTCCTGGGAGAATTCTTTCAATGCAGAGCCATCACTTATTAGTTCTGTAATCTCACATTGCTTCCTTCTCACAGTCTCTGGCAAGCTGTTGAATAAATACGCAATTAATATTTGTCTGTAACTAAAAATTTGAGAGGATAGGAACAGCGAGGGCCTTTGGGGCTTAGGTTGACCAGCTGTCCATTGGAGGCTTAGAGAATTAGCAGGATCTGTTAGTTTCCTACACCTATTCTCTGTCTTCTTTTTTTTTTAAAAAAAGATTTATTTTATTTATTTGAAAGACAGAGTTACAGAGAGAGGTAGAGACAGAGAGAGAGGTCTTCCATCTGCTGGTTCACTCCCCAGATGGGCGCAACAGCTGGAGCTGCGCTAATCCGAAGCCAGGAGCCAGAAGCCAGGAGCCAGGAGCCAGGAGCTTTTTCCGGGTCTCCCACATGGGTACAGGGGCCCAAAGACCTGAGCCATCTTCTACTGCTTTCCCAGGCCACAGCAGAGAGCTGGATCGGAAGAGGGGCAGCTGGGATTAGAACCACCTCCCATATGGGATGCCGGCACTTCAGGCCAGGGCTTTTAACCCACTGCACCACAGCGCCAGCCCCTCTCTGTCTTCTTTATTAGAGAATCCTGATTTTCTTCAAGGGGACAGCATATTCAGTTAATGGTATCACTGCCCTAGACTCCCTGTGGCTATATTTTGACACAGGATCTAGTAAGCTTTTACTGGGAAGGCTTTCATTTTTCTGATATAGACACCAGCTCTTCCTGCATCTAATTGTCCTTGGCTGGAATGTAGGAGTGCTGCTTAGCAGCCTTCCTGTGACTGTGAGGATAAAAGCTAGAGGTGCATGGAGCAGACAGACAGGAGGATCCTGGATCCTGGGTGGCATTGTAGAGTCGCCACAGCAGGCCTGAACTGCCTGCCTGCAACATTTGGTTATCTGAGGGAAATAAAGCCCTGTGCACTTAAGCCAGTGCAACTTGGAATTTCTGATGCTTAAACTGAAGCAAGTGAGTTGATATTGGAGTATCAGTAGGATTTTGAAGCTTTCATAATTGTGGCCTCAATTTCTCATATTTAAATTAGTTACGACCCCTTCAAAGTAATGGGTAGTGACCTAGATCTAAATGATTTGATTCTTTAGGGAAACTGATAAATCTGAGTAAGTCAGAGTAGATTGAATCCTCAGATAACTGGGTGATCCTGGGAGATCCTGGGAAATCCCCTGATCTTTCTGGGGAGCATGGTGACTACATTAAAATTATCAGATCGTAAGCACCCTGAATACGGCAGGGTCACCGCTGAACTTGTGGAAGTGGGTTACGTTGCACAACAACCGGCTGTGAATGCATTTAGCCTCTTCTTAAACATAAGAGGAAATCAGGGCTTGGCAAGTTTACTCTCCCAGTGACACAGAGAGGTGAAGTCAGAATTTGAATCCAGCACCTGACTCCTAAACTACACTCTGAATCCCTGCTAAGTTGCCCTGGACTAGTAGACAACTGACATATAACTGTTGAATGATCCCATGAATCAGTGAATAAAACTCTTCCTTTCTGTTGTGATATTCAGTATTACTGTAGACATGGGGTAGGGGCTGCAGCTTAATTAATCTGTAGTGGTCAGGAATTTTCTGTAAATAATAGAAGGCAAATTCAGTCCAAATTAAGAAAATTCTGGAAGAGCATGAGGTAGGAAAGGACACGGCATTTTTCATCCTGCGTGGTCAGTCACAGGGATGAGTGGGCTGGACGCAGGATTTCTGCACAGGAGCTGGGCTGCCTCTTGCTCTGCTCTCCCTGTTGGGGGCTTTCTTCTCCTCTGGGTCAGGTAGCTGGCCACCAGCAACTCCAAGGTCAAATCTATGACCAGATTAAAAATAAAAACTGAATAGTGATTGGTTCAGTTGAAGTCACATTAACCAATTCCCTGCTACCAGAAGAATTTGGCCCTTGTTTAAAATTTTTGTAAAAAATTGAGAGGGAGTGAGAGAGAGGGGAGAGGAGGAGGAGGAGGAGGAGAAGCTGAAGGAGGAAGACAGCAGGACAGGAGGAGGAAGGGAGGGAGGGAGGGAGGGAGAGAGAGAGAGAGAGAAAGCGCTCCCATCTTCTTCCCCAAATGTCCACAATGCTTGGAGCAGCTAGGAGTCGGGAATGCAATCCAGGTCTTCCACATGGGTGACAGGAACCCACTGATTTGAGCCATAACAGCTACTTCCCAGGCTCTGCGTTATCAGGAAGCTTGAATCTGGAGCTGGGGCCAAGTATCAAACCCAGGTACTCTGATATAGGACGTGGGCATCTCCACTGACAGGCTAAACGCCCACTCTAAAATTGGTGATCATTTGTGTGATTGTGGCAGCCCCAGTGACCAGAACGTGGAACATGAGCAGTGGATTTCACAAGGAGTGGTTCTCCCAAAAGTGGGAGGAACATTTATTAGTTGAAGGAGGGAGCTGTGGAGTCCCAGATATCCCCATGAGATGCCAATTACAGAACCCAGCCTCCAGTGTCCAAGTGGTTTTTGCTCTCAGGCGTTCATTCCAATTCTGAGAGCTCCATCCTGTCACAGAGTCGATGGCTCAGAAAAGAAAAAGCTGGCGGAGAGCTGATTCTTTGCAAGAGCAGAGGCTGACACAATGCATAGTAATTCAGACTCGGAGAGCATGTGCTGGGGCCTGATCCAAAGAGCCCAAAACTGGGTGGAGAATTCTGAAGGAAGGCAGTGGCTGAATCAGCTTTGACAAAAAGCCCAGGGGAAACATCTTCGTCCTTGCAAGGCAAGACAATGAATTTGTTTTTGCAGAAGGGTGGGTAGACTTGTGAATGTGATCTTGCTTTCATTCACAAAATGCAAGTACAACTAAATAATCAGCTGTGAGCAAGTTGAGAGCAGAGGAGGAGGTTCCTGGAATTGTACAACTCAGGTTTTCAAGGTGTGTAAATCTTGCTGGAACTGATGACCCTCCCTTCCTCTTGGGAGTTATTAAGCATTTATTAAGACCCAGTCCTCACCCCATCCCCAAGCAGAAGCCCAGGGGTCTAGGGCTACTGGCCCAAGGTCATGTAAGGACACCTACCCCTTTGCCTTTAAGCCAATCATTCAAATATTTTCAGTTGAAATAGTGATTGTTGCAATGAGCAGGCTTGCTCCCAGGAGACATTTGGCAATATCAGAGAGTTTGGAGGGCCACAGTTGAAAGGACTGGTTACTGTTAGCATCTAGAAGCCAGAAAATTTGCTAAACATTCTACAAGGACCAGGACCCAGTCCCCAGAACAAAGAATGCCTCAGATGCCAAGAGTTTCCAGGTTTAGAACCACAGGGACAAAATGACTGCCCCCAAGGAAAACCTGCTGATCAGAAAAGAAGCTGGTAAGAAAGACATGGGGTGTGCGTACTGGGAGGCATCTCAGAGACTAGCTCAACCCCCATCACCTAGAAATGGAGGTCCTGAGCGGGGAAGCAACTTGACCTTGCTCACACAGCTCATTGGAAGCCAACGAAGACTGCATCTGGGCTTCATAATGATGGTTCTGGCTTTCGACTATCCCTTGAGCCATCCTATGGTGGCTTCCATTGTGCTTAGGGTATAATCCAGAATCTGTATCGTAGTGTGGAGATATGAAGTAAGGAACTTGGCCTTGCCTTTGCTCTCTGGAGGTCGTCTAGGAGTATCTTTGTTTAGGGCAGGTGCTGGCCACCTAGCAAACTCCACTTGCGCACTAAAAACAATCTTTCAGCAATGCCTACGTAAAGGAAGCCGACAGTAACTCTAGACATCAGGTTTAGGTGGATTTTGCTGGACATCAGTACTCTGTGTGGGTGTCACAGATCAATGCTGGAAGAACCATGGATGCTGGAGATCAATGTCTTGACTCCACAGGGAGAGACGAACACAAGCTTCACATTGGCAGCCTTCCCAGCCTCTGGCCAACATGCCTCTCCTTTTGGTGGATGTTAATCTGTATCCATTCTCTGTAATGATAACCACAAGTATCAGTGATTCCTCTGAGTCCTTTAAGAGTTATTCGAGGGGCTGGCACTGTGGCACGGTGGGTTAAGCCACCAACTGCAGCCCCGGCATCCCATATAGGTACTGGTTTGATTCCTGGCTGCTCCACTTCTGATCCAGCTCCCTGCTGATGCGCCTGGGAAAGCAGCAGAGGATGGGCCAAGTGCTTTGGCCCCTGCACGCATGTGAGAGACCCAGATAAAGCTCCTGGGTCCTGGCTTCAGCCTGGCCCAGCCCTGGCTGTTGAGGCCGTTTGAGGAGTGCAGTAGCAGATGGAAGATTCTCTCTCTCTCTGTGTCTCTCTGTCTCTCCTCTCTGTAACTCTAACTTTCAAATAAATAGATAAATCTTTAAAAAATATTCAACCTGAGTGTGGTTTGGGGAATCCTGCACTTGGAGTTGCTGTTAGAGGTAAAAGCTGTCGTGTGGGTGTCTGACTGGAGATTTCACAGCTGCTGAGTCTGGGCAGGAAGGAGTATGCCCCCATCATCCTGCAGGGTCTGCTGAAGTGGTGTGAGTTTAGAGAACTGGAGACGCGTGCCCTTGCCTCCTTCCACCCCTGGGGAAGAAAAATCAAAACGAAGTTCCCTTTTGCACAGTCCCTCTCACTGTTCTTTGGTTTTCCTTTCTGGTGTTCAGACCACTTAGGATGCCTTTGACTGCAGTGAACAGAACACCCGACTACAAGGCATTTCCTTAATGGGCTTCATAGTTGTCACCCAGTAAGAATCATGAAGCAAGTCATCAGCTGTGGGGTTGGGGTGAGGGTTGGCTGCTTCATGTCCACTCCCGATGGTGCCTTCCATCTGAAGGAAGTTCGGTCATCAGAAATCCTGATTTCCTTCTTAGCTTTCATCTACTCCATCCCCTGGGAGGCAGAGTGCTTGTCTGATAAGTGTGGCCGAGCTCCTCTGGGGACTGAGCCTGCCCCATGCGGCACTTCATCTTTCCTACTCCAGGTGGGGTCTGGAACTAGACACTAAATCTGCCTGACTCGGGATTGGGGCACAATTGCTTCTCTCATTACGCTATAGCCACAGACCTGGCATTTATCAGCAGCCAAGATGAAATCGTCCCCTCTTCTCCATGGTCTTACTTCTCAATTTGTTCAGAACTCAGAAAGGGAAGAAGACGACTCACTGGGCATCTCTGGCCTCCCACAGTCACCCTCAGGAGCCCAGATATAGTCAACCCACCTGCTCTGCCATCAACACTGTGTTGGAAATGAGTCCCCTTAGGATCACAGGATCACATGACCACATGCCAAACAGGCAGGCAGGACAAGGGAAGAGGCAAAAAGGCTTTTCCCTCAATTTGCTTTCTATTTTATAAGAGAATATTTCCCAGAAGCCCCCTTGCTGACTCCCCATTGTAGCCTATTGGCCAACCTGGGTCACATGTCCATCTAGACCAGTAACTGACAAAGAGAAATGGAAGCATCATGGCAGTTTAGTCCACCCCAGCTGAGTGATGATGAATCACTTAGACCTGGGGAGATGGCCTCCAAATAAAACCAGGGTTCTGTTGGGAAAAGAAAGAAGTACAGGTTTTAGTAGACAGCTTGCAGTGGGTGCTGTCGTCCTGTTCATAATTCAAGGTTGAATGTTTATTGCTTGGACGACTTAACGACCTCATCCTCCCTTCCAGTGTAAGTCCCACAAGACAGCATATACACCTTCCTCAAGCCATCAACCGGTTAGGACACCATCTGCCATGCTGGCATCCCACATGGGTGCCTATTCAAGTCCCAGCTGCTCTGCTTCTGATCCAGCTGCCTGCTGATGCCTCTGGGAAAGCAGTGGAGGATGGCCCAAGTGCTTGGGCCCCTGCCACCCATATTGGAGACCCGGATGAAGCTCCTGGGTGTGGCTTTAGCCTAGTCTAGCCCCAGCCTTTGCAGCCATCTGGGGAGTGAACCAGTAGATGGAAGTTCTGTCTCTCCTGACTGTCTCTCCTTCTCTCTCTCTCTCTCTCTCTGTGTGTGTGTGTGTATGTGTGTGTGCACATGTATAATTCTGACTTCAAATAAATAAGTAAACCTTTTTTAAAAAGATAAAAAGAGTTATTCAACCTGAGTGTGGCAGAGGCTCAATGATCATCCATGGGAACACACAGGAATAATTACCCAATCAGAACTGCCGGGCACTGTAGTGAATGACGGAAGAAATGTCAGAAGCACTGCTTGTCCTCAAAGAGTTGGTGGTACAGATGGGGCGAGGCTTGCACACTTAAGTCATCTTCTATTGATGTGAGACAGGGCGTCTCTTTTCCTTCCTCCACGTCAGTAACATTTATCCATGTCAACAAAGTGCAGACACCATGGTGAGTGCTGGGGCTGCAACGGAGAGCAGTGGACAAGCCCGGGGCCCTGTCCTTCAAGGTGAAGGGCTAGGGAGGGTGATCGTGAGGAATCCACCAGGATAAAGATAAGCAGGGAGGCCAGGGGCACAGGGGACAAAGATTCCATGTTTCCTTTTTTTTTCTCTTCAAAATGTATTTATTTGAAAGGCAGAGATGGAGAGAGAGGTGGGGGGGGGGGATAGAGAGAGAAAGAGAGACAGATCTTTCATGATTCACTCCCCAAATGATTGCAATGGCTGGGACTGGGCCAGGCTAAAGCCAGCAGCCAGGAGCTTCTTCTGGGTCTCCCATGGGGGTGCAGGGGCCCAAGCACTTGCGACCATCTTCTGCTGCTTTCCCAGGTGCATTAGCAGGGAGCTGGATCGGAAGCAGAGCTGCTGGGACTCGAACTAGAGCCCCTATGGGGTGCCAGCGCTGCAGGCAGCGGCTTTACCCACTCCAGCACAATGCTGGCCCCCCCCATGTTTCTTCTCTCCTCCCCAAATCCGCAGGCTGCAGCCTGGGGCCTGCCAACTTGTAAGCACTGTGCAGTAGCTATTGTCTTGGGGAGCAAATACTGCAGAAAAAAATGTAGGAACCATTTAGGTTGTTAGCTCCATGTCGCAGCTCAGGAAAGTGAGACCCTAAGAAGTGAATGCCCTTCCACGAACAGTGAGGGACAGAGCCGGCACAGGAGTCCAGCCGCCTGATGGCTCTCTCCTGGCAGCTACTCCTTACTGCCTGTCTGATGAGGGGCCTCGCTGATGGCGGATTCCAGCGCTGGGGATTGTTCGGTGTCTGGCCTCTTTGCTGGACCCACGAACATCTAAATCCATCTTCTCACAGCTAGCGTGGAGAGCAGCATTCATTTCCCTCCTGTCCTTCAACTAACAACCCCGCATCAGTGAGTGAAAATAGCCCACACTGCTCCTTCTCTCCTTTTGTGTTTCAGCACTAATTATAATTAGTCATTTCCTAGAAAGTGTGCAAACATCACAGCGCAGCTGGGAACCTGCATAATTTAAACATTATTGCTAATTTAACTTCGAAATCCGGGATTGTGTGGGTTTTACAAAAGAGCTCTCCAAACCCTGCAAGACGAGGGGAAAGGCTCTTTGTTCCATTAGCGGTGCCTCTCCCTGGGGCTGTGCGCCAGCCTCTGTGTGGAATTACAAGGTTTCACATGGAAATGGTAACAAATGTCCTCGAAATATTTAACCACTATTATTATCGTCATAGGCTTTCAATGAGTCTTGGTTCACCAATTCCCAGCTCTACTTTTTACACTTTAATGGTGTGAATGACTGTTCTCTAACTCAATTGTCTAGGCAATCGCAGTTCCTCTATTTCTTTTAAATCAGATTAATTATGACACTGGGCCCTTACTCCACTAGGAGGAGGGGAAATTACTCCCAGGCCTTACTGAGGGCTTTTTCATGTTCCAGGGTCTTCACGGGGTCTGGGAGACTGAGGGGGTCAGGGTCCTCACTGTCCACGCCCCAGGTGACGCTTGCTCTCCGCAGGTCTCTGCTTCTGCACCTCTCCTAGGGCCTGGGGATCTTTCTGGTGGGGCCGGGCTCTCCCTGCCTCAGTGCACCCAGGAGTTAACCTCTCTGACGCTATTGCACCTTCTCAGAAGCAGGCCATGGAGCAGTGTGTGTGTGTGTGTGTGTGTGTGTGTGTGTGGTGTGTTTTGTGTGTGTAAGGTGTGTGTGTAAGGTGCGTGTGGTGTGTGTTGTATGTGTATGTGTGTGTGGTGTGTGTTGTGTGTGTGGTGTGTATGTTGTGTGTGTGTTGTGGTATGTGTGGTATGTATGATGGGTGTTCTGTGTGTGGTGTGTATTGTGTATGGTGTGATGTGTGTGGTGTATGCTGTGTTGTATGTGTGTTGTGTGTGTATTGTATGTGATGTGTGTTCTGTGTGTGTGTGGTGTGCGTGGTGTGTGGTGTATGTGTTGTGTGTGTTGTGTGTGTGTGGTGTGTGTTGTGTGTGTGGGTGTGTGTTGTGGTATGTGTGGTATGTGTGATGTGTGTTTTGTGTATGTGGGGTGTGTGTTAGTGTGTGTGTTGTGTGCGTGTGTAGTGTGTGTTGTATGTGTGG